TTTTTCTCCGGTACCGGGAACCGAACTCAAGACCTTGCACTTGCCAGGCAGGTGCTTTTTGCCACTGAGCTAAATCCCCAGCCCTTTTGTTTGTTTGTTTGTTTTTGTTTTTTTTTTTGTTTAGTTCAGTAACTTGAGACATGCAGATGTCTCAAGTGCTGTTCCTGCGTAGTTTTGTGGAAGTCCCACATAGATGTTAGCGTATAATTATGAGGAACTAAGCTCATTTATCTTTGTGTGATATAAGTTCATATCGTCCCTTGATAAGAGAGATGAAAATCGCACAAGCAGGTTGAGCACTTTCAGTAAGAGAATAGTGAGAATATTAGCATGTTGCCTGGCTGGATGGAGTTGCTCCAGGGGCTGACACTGTGGATGTCTTTTCCAGGCATGCAGCGGCTGCATCATATCAGTTGGGGGTCAGATTCCAAACAACCTGGCAGTCCCTCTGTACAAGAACGGTGTCAAGATCATGGGTACGAGCCCACTGCAGATCGACAGGGCTGAGGACCGTTCCATTTTCTCAGCTGTCTTGGATGAGCTGAATGTGGCTCAGGCACCGTGGAAAGCTGTGAATACTTTGGTATGGAGAGAAACCCATGTGTCTCTTTAATATTCTTTATTGAAGAGTTGTAACCTGAATGTTAACTGCTGGAAATGTTAACTAGAGGGCAGATAGAATGCACAGTAGGCTGAGTGAAGATACTATAAAGTTGCTGTATTTCCACAACTGCACTTAAAGGCTGATTATAAATAGATAGCAGTATTCTCATTAAGATTCAGACAATGAAAGGAGGTTCAAATTATTTTTGAACCAGATATGATATTTAGAATTAGAAACTAGGAATTTTATGTTACTCCATGTCCAATTTACATTTTAATGGAGTCTTTTGAGAGAAAGAAGAAAGCGAGTTAGGTTATCCCTTGATCTAAAGATACCAGTCTGCATATTCATTGCATATTTCAAACTATTCACACATTTTTTTGTTGTTGTTTCTACTAATTAGAATGAAGCACTGGAATTTGCAAAATCTGTGGGCTACCCCTGCTTGTTGAGACCTTCCTATGTATTGAGGTAATGTATTGTTTTCTGAGACAATGATTCAAAAGTTTGGGAATTCAGAAATGCATGCTGTAAGCTAATAGCTCCAGGCTTTGATGTGGAGTAATTTGTAAATCCATACACAGCCTCCAAACCATCACAGCCAGTGTGAAGACCAATGTGTCATCCTTTGGCTTAGTGGTTTTCCTTTGGGGGGTAGCAATAGGAACAGAGGACATTTCCACATCTACAAGCATGGCTTGAGGCATCTCCTTGACAAACCGAAGGAGGATAGTTTTACATGCAAAATAGGACAGTTAAAGAAATTGGAACGTCTCTTACCTGCATGTATTTTCTGATATCCAGTTTCTTTGTTTTGGAATTTTGAGTTTTTGAGATCAGAGGTTTCAATAGATGAGTTATAATGCTCAGGAACGTGGGAAATAAGGATCTTTTGTATTAAACTTTGAAACTAAGTTCTACCATCAAAGAAGAAGTTGTGAATTATCATTTTCTCCCTTCAGATGTTACCACATGTAAGGGACCACTTCACTGAACAGAGGAGAATAAGAGAAATGCAATTTGCTGTGCACAATTTGAAAGTGTAAATGGAATTTGAGAAGGGATCCTTTAAAATAATGAAAAATTTCAAATGAGGTGGAAAACTTTCCATTTTTATTGAAATTACATTTTGTGTAAACAACAGTATAATACTACTACTCCTTGGAGGAATTAATGTAAATTAATTTAAACAACACTTGGACATTTAAATAAGGATTGAAAAAAATAACTTTGTCCATTGCAATTCTTTTTCCATTTTACAACTTATATCTTTGTTCCAGTTTTTTCTACTCTGAATTATTAGCATTATAGTTCTAGCTTTCCTCTCATAAGCAGTGAAGCAATTAAAGTTTGCTATGCAGAGATTTATAATAGAGTAAGAAAAGTAAAGATTACTTTTAAAAGAAAGGGGAAAGTAATTTTTCTTCCTTATTTTGCCTTCCTTTTATCGCTCCTACATTCTTCCCCTCCCATCTCATTTTGGAAATGTCAAAATTCAGAGTAAATTGATTTCAGATAGCATTATTTCTTAAGTATTTAGAAGGACTGACACAGTTGAATAAGTTTCAATCAGCTACAGTACATTATATTTGCAAATGTGACTAAAAATAATTGATTCTTTTATAATGGAGGATGTAGAATGACCTGCTTTAACTATGTATCAGTGAGTTAAGAATAGCTGTTGGTAATGAACTCTGAAGAAACATGTTTAGAAAAATTAGGCTTTGGGATGAACCCGGTTAAAGTTTAAGAATTACTTGGAATCAGCAAGGCACTTGAACAGTAAATCCAAAACAGCAAACTGTGGGGAAATATAAACTCTAGCACAAGCAGGGTTTAATTGTGACCCTTTCCTAATTCTGGTGACAGTTTACTTTGGTTAATTTTTTTTTTTTTTTTTTTTTGGTTTACTTTGGTTAATTATCCTGGTGATTGAATGAAGTCTTGATATAGAGAACGATGTCTTCGCATTAGGCGTAGACTTGAACTAAATATTTCCTAGAACTATTCTGAGAGTCAATAAGATTTAGTGCACTTTACTTTTGCAATGGTAAAGGACACTAACCTGCTTTCCCCAACTCATTTCCCAGTGGGTCTGCCATGAACGTGGTGTTCTCCGAGGATGAGATGAAAAAGTTCCTGGAGGAGGCCACCAGGGTCTCTCAGGTAGGATTCAATTTCCTCCTGTTGACTTTGGCCTCTTTTGCTAATTGCTGTCTTCCTTTGTGTGCTGTCTTCCTTTGCACCACGCTCTTAGAATGGTTTTCTGTTTTTTTTCTTCCTTCTACCTATGAGTCTCTGTGAGATGGCAAAACTCAAACACTTTAAATTGTAACCAGATTCTAATGGTTAGTAGAAGAGGAGTATGGTGCATGTTTGGTCAGTACAGATCCACACATTTTTAGATTGCAAGTGTTGAAAGGGATAAGCCCTCTTGCTGAAGGCTGGATATGCATCCTGTACCTCAGACTCAGACACTGGTCAAAGAATTACTGAGATTCCTGAGATCAAGTCATTTCATCACCAAGTGAAAACTTCCCTAACTTTAAATTCTCGAACTTGGGGACTTTGTGTTCATCAATTATACAATTTGAATAGTGACTGTCCTCACTCATTTATTGAGTTTTTTGTTATTTTGGCAAATTTCATTGGTGACTTAATAAAAATGTTTTTAATTTCATAGTGCCTCATTTACCTCCTTCACTGCCTCTAGCTTTTACTTTCTTTTTTATGCATTACCTTGGTGTGATCATTTAAGGTTTACCCAGTGATCTTTAGATCTTGTTCTGTAAAGGATAAAAATAATGTTTTCCTTTTAAAACGTTGAAAAAGCTAGCTGAGCTTACAAAAAAAGACCCACTCATAGTAGGCAAATGGAATTTGGAGGGAGCTGAAGAATTAAGTCAGCAGCATTTCAAAGAGAAACAGAGAATATGGATGTACAGAAAGAAACCAAGTGGGTTTAGAATTCACACTGGTGTGAAAGTCAGATAACAGAAGGAAATATCTTCAGTGGGCCAGTTTTCATTAATATGCCCTGGAGTGAGACACAATCTGTTTTCTCTTCTGTGTTGTTCCTTACCAGGGATCCTGCCCTGCACCTTTTTAGAGAGGCCAGTAACTATCCCAGCTGGTTCCAGATATATAACTGAGGAAGGCTTCTCCTATTTTCTCCCTGAAACTCTGAACCTCATAGGACTTCTGATCAGTAGAATTAAATATATATATATATATATATATATATATATATATATATATATACACACACACAGTAGAATTAAATATATGTAAATATATACATTATTAAATATATAAAAATATATACACACACAAACAATAATATATGGACAGAATTCAGAAAAGATTAAAGTTTTAGACTAGAGATATCCTGATTGAATATTTCTTGGTTCAAGTCTCCCAGTCAAACTACAGCAAAGTTTGGAATACTCAATTCAATGTGCTTAGAATAAAAAGAGCCTCTATCAAGCATTCTTCTATCTATATATTTATTCATATTAGTAGCTGCTGTTTACTGGCATTGTTTTCATCACTGTTACCGGGTACACTTATGAAACATACATATGGTATTTCGCAGAGAACTTTCTTTGCAAGGGACATCAAAACCTCAGGTGATTACAATTAAATGTGGTCACCAATGACCACCGCAGTAGAGAGGTAGGATGCTGAAGCAAAGTGCGAAAATCTTAGTGTCTCATCCCTTAGGAAGGATTTTTAAATTGATGTCTGATGGTTGATTCAGAGTGAACTGGGTGAAAGTTTTACATTGTGTGCATGACAGTAAGAAAAAAACCAGCACATATAAAGGCCTAAACATGAGAAGAGCATAAAGTTTCTAGAAACCAATGAACAAGTTTTTATATGGCTAGGACACCAAATATGGTATTGATTATACTGGTTAGTTTGCAGTATTTAGAAAGAGTGATTTTTGTTTTTGAGATAGGATAGTCTTGAATTCACTATGTAATCCAGGGCCTCAAACTCGACTCAGTTTGTGTGGTCTCAAACACCTGGTGATCCTTTTGTTTCCGCCTCCTAAGTGCTGAGGAAATGGGACCAGGAAGTAGAGGGAAGGGAGAGTTGTTTGTACTAATAAATAAAATGAAAGAATGAATTATAGACACGACTGAATTCATGAGAGAGGGGAGTGGGCTATTGTAGCTCATAGCAAAGATGACAGAAGCTTGGAGAAGAATAACGACAGCAAAGGAGGAGAGAAATATTGAGGATGTGAACTGAAGGGAATTAGTGCATGCGTAGATGTTGAGACTCAAAGAAGATAAAGTTGACTACAGAGCTCCTGCTCTGGGCAACTGGCTGGATAGTAGGGCTGTTTGTTAAGACAGGGAGCACTGGAGAGCTATAGAAAATAATATATTAATTTTTGATCTTTTATATGTGAGCTGCCTGTGAAGAATCCAAGCAAAAAATGATTTGAAGGCAGAGGGTTTCATAGATTTAGAATTGAGGATCCAGATCATGGCTAGAGATAAATCTGTGAATATAAGTTTTGAAATAGATAGATTACCCTTTAAATGGAAGTTTTGGCAGTGGAAATAATCACTGAAGGAGAGACTATGGAAGACGGAGCAGCCGGGACAGAGAAATAACAGCATTTTAGGTCTGAGTGGAAAGGGAAAAACCATGAGGACAGAACATGAGAAAGGAAAGCATGAGGATGTAGTTTACAGATATCAAAGGAAGAAAGTATTTTCAGAAGACCAATGATGTCTAATGGTACTAAAAGAGTGAAATTGATTAAGACATTTTTCATAAATCTACTCAGTTGGCCAGGATGGTGGATACTGTTGTTGCCTCAAATCCCTGGATCCCTTAGCCTATGGAAGCACCTGTCCACAGAGGCTGTGATAGTTAATAACACCTCCTAGCTGTGCTCTGCTCTGGACATTTTCACAAATAGGAGCCTTGTCATGCAGAAGGCAAGATCCTTTGTATCACATCTGTCTTTAAAGCCCTAGATAATGATTGACCTTGCTTCAGGATGGGGTTTAGTGGTATAACCCATACTAGAGAGCTTCCTGTGGGATAAGGCTAATGCTAGTCTTTGGGGATGGGTTGCAAGCTGAAAGATGAAGCTGAGGAGAAAATGTAAAAGCACAAAGGGAAGAGAGACATGGGTCTAGTAAGAAATCAGCATATGACCCATGTTTTTGGAGCTCTGTGGAGGATCCATCTAAACTCAGGAGGTCATTGTTAGGTTCTTGGCACAAGTAAAAAACAAAATGAAGTAAAAAATGCCTTTATTGCAGGCATGGAGAAGGCCACAGAAAGGAAGAGAGACTCAGACCTTCTGAGGGTCTGGCCAGAGAACAATGGCTACATAGGGTCAGGCTGGAGGTGGGGTTTAGGGGTGTGGTTTGTGTGACAGAGCAGATAGTGATGGGGCAGGGGGTGAGAAAGAGTAAACAGGATGTTGTAAAAGGGAAGTAGGAAGTGGTAACTGGACCAGGGAGGAGAAAAGCTGGGCTTGGCACGTGGCCTCCTGTGGCCTGCACCACACTGGCTCACAGCCATGATGACTTAGCAGAATTTTTATTTAGGCCAGAAATCCATCAGTCATCAGTCAATGTATTCATTTAGTGTGGAAAAAGAAAATGGAGGCTATGATATGGAGCAATCCCAACACTGTCATGAAGGAACTGAATGTAGGAGGCAATTCAAGATTGACGAGTGGTCTCAAGCATTCCAGAAAGGGAGTATGTTTTAGATTGATAAAGAAAACGTTTGGTTTCAACATTGCTAGTGTCCTAGTCTAAAAGCTAGATAATGTGTATTAACTTCAAAGGGTTTTATCTTTGGCCCCATCAAAGCAAAGCTACATGCTATTCTCCCGAGCGCAGTCACAGCTTTCACACAGAGAGTTGACTCTGGAAGTCAAAGTGCCTAGAAAAGGTGAAGGTAGGAAGAGATAAAAAACCTGAACCAATAATTATATATAGGTATAAAGTGGAGAAATAGTCATGATTTTGGTAGCAGAGAAAGAAACCACATTCTGCTGCCTCTTCAGCTCTCGCTTTTCTCTAACTGGACTAGAAGCCAGCATCTGAGATTTCAGAACTCGCATTCAGTTTGCTAAGCACTCAGAGAGAGCTGCAGAGAGACCCTTAGTATTGCTGTAAGCAGAGAATGACCTTATACTTACAAAACAGCCTGGCTAATGAGTTCATATATTGTGTTTAGTCTTACATCGCCTTCAAGTGATGCCTTAGTATTTACCTAAGGCACGTGAGTTACTTGGCATTACACACATAATTTCAGCTAATGTTTCTGCTCCTCGGTTTTTCTCATTGACAGGAACACCCAGTGGTGCTGACAAAGTTTATAGAGGGAGCCCGGGAAGTAGAAATGGATGCTGTTGGCAAAGATGGAAGGGTAAGAACCTTATCCCTATCTCCCTTCTTTATCCTCCCATTCATTTTTTTCCTTGACAACCTTGAAACATTCAAAGATTAGAATTCAGGATTTCTACAGAACAGGTCTCTGTAACAGTGAAGAAGCTTCTCAGTTAAAAAAAAAAATTCGAATTCACTGACAATCCAGCAGATATGTCATGGATATCATATTTCCTGTTTCATACTGTTAGAATTTCTCCTTGATGATTCTCAAAATTAATTATCATCCTGCTCTCACCATTCTTTTTGAATAGTTCTGCCTCATTTTCTTTTGTCTGTAGTTTTCATTTTATGTTTCAATGAATATTATAAAAATCTAATCCTTTTCTTTCTGAAGTTTCTAATTGAATCTCTAGTTTTCTTCTTAGTTGATTTTCCACCTTTCCCTCTTTTCACTGGATTAGTAAAAAGAAAACCAAACACAATGAGGTAGATAGATAGGATCATGACATAAAATTAGCTTACCATGTCACATCTGGTATTACTAAACAATGAATGCCCCCAACTTCAGGGAAAAATGAACAGGTGAAGAGTACCCAGGTTTGCTAATTGTGTTTCTAAAGCATTTGTGATTTATCTTGGAATATAGGAAGTGATGTTTTAGAGAGTGTAGGTCATTTTGTTTGCTACAAGAAAAAATACAAAGTTACCCTTCATTTACTGTTTTGCAAATATTTCAAAATACTGTTGTCTAAGTCTCTGTTCTATCACTTGGATGACAGTCCCCAACATCCACAACTCAGAGCAGGACAGGTGAATTTGGGCACACAGCTTCAGTCTGGGGCCAGCTGGCACCAAGGCAGAAGCGGGATGGCAGATGACATGGTAGAGAAAAGGGTGCTCAGCTTATGGAAGCCAGGAAGCAGAGAGCGAAGAGAGAACCGGGGACATGATTTCACCCTTTCCAATGACACCCTCATTGCTCTACCCTCATGCAGTCCCGTCTCCTAAGCACATTTAGCTACTGAACTCATCCATAGATGAAGCCACTGGTGAGCATAGTGGCCTCATAGTGGTTTCCTGACAATCCCCTTTCACAGATATGAGAATTTCAGGTCATCCCTAACAGCTACCAGAGGCACTCACTCTTTTCTCTTTTTCTTTTTTCCAGATTACCAGTTTAGGATAGGACTTTCTTATTTTTATTTTCAATCATAATAGTGAGTGCTTATTGCAGAATCACAATCTTGATTTGAAGCAGTTTTTAGTGCAGCTTCTCAACTCTCAAATATTCTCAAATGTTCCAGTCTCCTCACCCAGTTATTGAATTGCCATGCTCAGAAATGGGCGTAGTACTTCTGGTATGTTATGATTGTTTCAGAGCTCAGTGGGATGATCACCTCTTCTTTCTAGACTGTACACACACACACACACACACACACACACACACACACCCCAAATCAAACTATTACTGTGTGTATGAAACTAGGTACTTCATATGCGTGCCCTTTTATTCTCACTAACATTCTATGAGATAGGCACTGCTGTTTCTTCTCATCAGAAACCAAGGGTAAGCAGATAAAGTGCCTCGCCCAGGTCACAGATCTCAAAAGTTACACCAGAAGGATGGAGAATCAATGTTACTCTAATTTAGGTATCTGTAAATTGATAAATAAATCTGCGTAAGTTATACAAATCTTTTACAGTCATTCAATTATTCTCTCTTACTTTCAGCTCCGTTATCTCTCAATATACATTATTAACATAGGTTAAAGCGATAACGTAGGTTCAAAATTCTAACACAGGCATATACAGTCATCTAAATGCAATTATTTGTTCTTACAGTGTTTTCACTTCCTTATGTTGAAAGAGGACAGTTTTTTTTGTCTCCCTCCTTCTTCAATCTTCAATTTCAAGATCTCTTGATCAGATCCTCAATTCATTTTCTAGTCCACCTACATTACCCCATTTGCCTAGCTATTCACCTCTCCTATCCTCTTTTCTTCTTTTCCTTATCTCTTTCCTTTCCTTTTTTCTTTCTTTGTGTCTGTCTAAAAGATGTCTTCAGTGCTTTGCAAATCCTGCAGTTTCTTATCTTCTTCTTAAGGGTGGATATGTATTAGTTTAATTTTCTTCTTTGCCTGCTATTCCTATCCCTGCTAATCAGTGGGAAGAGGGAGTAAGTTCCTAACTACAGTCAGCTGTCTCTGGAGACTGCCAGTCAGTGTGGAGACCCTGATGGTCTTTGTGAGGCTCTTTCTCCTGTTCTCATCAGGAGCTTGGCTAAGGCACTGGTCAGTGCTTGGGGCATCTGTTAGAATCAAAGGGGTGCATGAGGGAGTAGCTTCTTTGCAGAAGGTGCGTGACAGTTCTTTCTCAAATCTTCTCCTGGCAGGTTATCTCCCACGCTATCTCTGAACATGTGGAAGATGCAGGCGTCCACTCAGGAGATGCCACTCTGATGCTGCCCACACAAACCATCAGCCAAGGAGCCATTGAAAAGGTCATCATTTATAAAAGAAAGTGGAAGGGGAACAGCAAAATTTTTTTTAAAAAATCCGATTAAAAAAAAGGTAGCAAAATAAGACATGCTCCAGGTACAACTTAATGATGAGGGGAACTTTCTTGCCCTTAGCAAGCTGAGTATTTTAAAGCTAATTTCTTTCACAACCCTTTAGAGCCTGTTAGGCTGTTGGTGAACGCAGTGGTTCTCAAACTTTAGTGTGCACCCAAACAGCCCAGGGAGCTTATTAGAGGTTATTACAGGTTTCTGGGCTCCACTCCTGAGTTTCTGATTCCACAGATCTGGGGGGAGCCCATTAAAATTGCATTTTTATCAAGTGGTCAAAGAGATGTTCTTTCCTCCGATCTGGGGACCACATTAAGAGAATGGTTGCTGCAGGTGCTTTGCAGGTTAGAGGACCACGTACAGATATGCAGCATAGCAATAATACTGCTTTTTTTTTATTTTAAAGAGAGTAGTACATGAGAAACAAACAAAAAAATAATTAGAACAGTGGCAGCATACCAGTATGACGAACATAAAGAAATCAAAGTAAGAACATTCAAAGTGATGCAGGGTCTCAAGACAAATTAATACAAATCAACAATGGTTGTTACGCTGCATATTGTGATCCTCAACTACATTGCTCAGATTATCAGATGTAAGAATGAAAGATTGCTCAAACCATTAAAGAGAATAAGGAAATAATTCTTCAATAAAACTATAATACTTCTCAGAGTGACTGAAGGAAGCACACAGCAGTCACATGGAGAAACTTCTAGAACTCATGCTTTGAGTCTTCACCCTTGCCTCAAATAGCACTTTCTGATATGTCTCTTTTGACCCCTCTTTGAGAGCCACTCCTTTAAAGAACTTCCCAGGATAGATTATTGGCTCAGTACTCACATGCTTGGCTAGGTAAACATGTAAAGCTTATCATTTAAGTAATTCTTGAGGGTGTCCCACTGGGCTCCAGGGATGTCAGAATCCGTGCAGGCTTGTCTGTCTGCCTGCTTGTACACTGGCTGAGTTCTGAAGGTCTTTGTTCTAGAATGTGGAGGTAGCAGGGTGCTTTGTAAAATGGTAGCAGAATTTTAAAAAAAGAGTTCCTGGATTTTAAATATATTTTTGTTTCTCATGTCAGAATAAATGACCTAAAAGCTCAACTTTCCCCAAATCTTGAAGAGCTCAGTGTGCCACAGAATCTACTTCCTTTCATGCCCAATTAAATTGCTGACCCAGTCCTGTAACTGTAATGAGAGAAGTGCTCTTGCTTCTGTAATCAGGGCCTCCTTTTGGCACAGGGACCTTCTGGCCCTGGTTGGATGCAGGGATTCCTGTATGTGACATGCAGACATGCAGAGCCTCCCCGCAGGCAAACACCATTTCCTTCTGACCATAATATCTACCCTTGTAGGGCTTAGGGCAACAGAAAAGCAACATAAAAGAACTCTCCCTGGTCTCTTTGCAGTGCCATGTAATTTCAGGGCCTGCACCTCTCAGCAGGTAGGTCATTAGATTGATATAGAGTTTGGGCTGTTGTTTCTGGTGCTAAAGCAACCGAAAAGATTTCATTTAACTCTCGTGTAAGACCAGGGTATATAATTGTAGGACAGAGGGGTATTTGGCAGACAGATAATACCATAAATTATTCATTCTTTCTTCTCTTGTTCTGTTATGACTACTTAGTACATATTATTTTGTTAATAGAAGCCTAACAATTTCCCTATTATTGCTTTTATCATTAATACAGATGTAGCTCTTTTTTTTTTTTTTTTGGTTTTTTTTTGGTTTTTCTCCGGTACCGGGAACCGAACTCACGACCTTGCGCTTGCCAGGCAGGCACTTTTGCCGCTGAGCTAAATCCCCAGCCCCCCAGATGTAGCTCTTTATAAAGACATAATAATGAAATCTAAATTGAAGGGGCTGTACCTTTTGTGTGTTGTGTTTTTGTCTAAACTATGCTGCTTTGCACTATTTCATTGTCCTTTCGCTCTAGGTGAAGGATGCCACCCGTAAGATCGCAAAGGCTTTTGCCATCTCTGGCCCGTTCAATGTCCAATTTCTTGTCAAAGGAAATGATGTCTTGGTAAGAAATACCAATGTGCCTGAGAGGACACTGTCACTGTGTTAGGTCATGTTGGGCTTTTGTCCCTCTGGTAATCTCTGTGAACACCGGCCTCAGTCACCGAGACCCCTGCAGCTGTTCTGTCTGAGAGTGGGATGTGGCACTGCATATAATGCCTGTCTTGTTTGAAGCCACAGGATCTTGGCGGCACGGACATGTCAGTCACAGACTTGTACAGCACTCTGATCCACTAGAAGGAAGATCACTGTATGCTTTCTGCAAAATACATACAGATAGATACGGTGCATATGTGAAACCGGATACATAGGGAATTCATGCAGACCTTCACTGAAGTTCTGCTTTTTCCTTACTCAGAGAAGAAAACTGATTTGGATACCATTTTTTAAAAAAAGTAAATCAAATAAAACTTAAAGTCAATTTGGTTATTCCTAATTAATTTGTTCTTTTATTTTAACCAATCAGTAACCAATATGTATATTTCCCATCTACAAAGGTATGAAAGGTACAGTCTCTGCTCTCAAAGACCTCATAACTTAGTAAGGAGTAGGAATAAAATAAATTTGAAATGAACACTATCAAATTAAGTATAACAACTACATGGGAGATTGTACAAATAAGATGGCTTTTGAGTTAAAGACGAGAAGGATCATATTTGCCAGTGTATGTGCAAATGGCTGCATAAACGTCTATTTGAGTATCCTATGCCTGTTCCATCTGGGGTGGATCATAAAAAGTTTCAAGGAAGATTTTGCATTGTGAACTGTACCTTACAGGATAGCTGAGATTTTGGCAAGTTAAAGAAGGAAGAAAGGATATTGCACATAGATAGAAGGTCATTTACAAGGATGAGAAAAATTGCATATTTAAGGAGATAGTGAATAGCTCAGTCTAGTGAGATCAGTTTTCTAGGTAAATAAGAAAAGGCAAGCTTGGAAGTGGGACTGGAGCCAGGAAGATGATCTAAAATAAAATAGGTAGGTTGAGGCAAGAGGATAGAAAGGTTTTGGGGACTAGATTTATTCTAATGCCAATGGGCATCCAGTGAGAGGGCTTTCAGTAGGAATGTGGCATCTGCATCAAAGTGATTCCGTCAGTGATGTGCGAGGAAATCCAATGGAAGAAAGTGAGAATTCAAAGATGCTCAGAGGGCCAGTTTGGAAAAGTTTAAGCAGTGAGAGAAAAGGGAAAACATTAGCAAAACAAATGCCTGTCTCCAGTTAATAAGTTACAAACCAAGGGTCAGAAAGAATATCAGTATTATGTTACTGGCTTTCATCACCTTCTCTCTCCTTTTGAATTTTGTTATCTTTTTAGGTGATTGAGTGCAACCTGAGAGCTTCTCGATCCTTCCCCTTTGTGTCCAAGACCCTTGGGGTTGACTTCATCGACGTGGCCACAAAGGTGATGACTGGGGAGCAAATTGATGAGCAACATCTTCCAACGCTGGAGCGTCCCATAATTCCTGCCGACTACGTTGCAATTAAGGTAATATTAAAAAACTCTCCAAGTCACTTTATGAGTCCAAAAGAAATTAAAGGAACAATTTTCCATCAAAAATCTCATGACTATGTGAAACTTTGAAGTAAAGTAGTAGACTGGTGGTTGTTTTCTTTCAATACGGTAATGCTGCTTGTACTAATGGTACCTCTAGGTGAACTTTTGTGCATTTACAAAAATTGTAAAAAGCGTCTAGAATTGTACAAACTCAAAACCAGCTATGCAAATAAATTAGAAGCTATCGTGCAGCTGATGCACGATGGTGCCAGATCAGTTTTTAAAAAGAAATACTAGATATGCTGTGTCGGGGTAAAGCTAAGATTGTGCCACTTTTAAATTGTGCCGAGTCTTCAGGACTGTATGACTTTTGTAAAAGTAATTACTTTGAGGGGCTTGTTAATTTCAGGCCACCTTGGCCACCATTGCTTACCCAATATTTTCCTTAGTAGCATTATTTTTCAATTTGAAAATGTGAGAGGGTCGTTATTGTTTATGGTGATGCTGTGAGGATCATGAAATCAAAGTTATGTTTTAATAATGCTTAATAATGAGGCCGTTGTACTCTGCAAGCTGCCTCAGTATGTTCATGCATGGGGTGTTTATGACTTTTAACTACTTTGCCTGACAGGCATGAGGATTAGTGGGGTATGTAAATATATTTTAACTTCTTAGATGAAGCCCACAATGAAATTAATTTATATTGTGTAATATATTTATGACACATTGACATAATTTGGATGCCTTCAAAAGGTTCCTGTTCCCATACATGCTAGTAGCTTCAGACATAATGGTGCTACAGCTAAGACACTGCCTCCTGGCTCTTATAGGGGGAGCTTTAAGTTAGAGCTATCAATTAAAAATATTCATTAATTTTTCTTAAGTTAAAAATTTAGGATGCCTTAAATTTTTTGTGCACTGAGGTGTGATGTCATTTTTCATGTTGGGGAAGGTGGCACTTTCTTCCTACTGACTATGACACAGATACAAATTCATAAAGCTTTTAATATTATGCAACTATATATACACATATTATATGTATATGATATATAAATATATATACATAATATTTGTGTTTTAAACCAACGGGTAGTAAGAACTACAAAATGTTTTCCACTAGGTACTACACATAAATTTTAAATTGATTTTTTATCTATATACATAGGAATATATGATTCTTATTAATGTATAGGAGAATAATTTCCAAGTAAAAATATTACAGATAAATACACATTAAAAATTCATTGTACCTTCCAACTTTCTTCTTTCCTTGTTATCACTGTGTGTGAATCTTACATTGTTTTCAACTACCTGTTCATTGTCACTCCATAGCAGCAGTTAGGTGGATAGAAAGCTGCAGATGGATTAACAAGGAAGCTGGAGCACATCATATATAATAACTCAAATGAGATGACCTAGTGAAATGAATTCCTGAGCTAGATTGCCAAAGAACAATTGAGGGCTCCAGAATCAACAGAGGAATAGTGTAGACCAGATAAACAGACACATGCAAGAAACAAGAACTTGATTCTCAGTGAATTTCACTGATAAAGTAAATGAAAAAGAAGGACTTCTGTGTTCCAGTTCACATGCAAAGTTCTAGGCAAAAGTGTTTCCAGGCAGAATGCTTTTAAAAGTCTTTAAGAGGTATCAGCAACAGAAGTCAGTTTACAGGCAGCCATTTCTGGCAAGGTGGCTTGTTGCAAGTTCAGATGATCAGAACAGTAATAGGAGTGTTCCAAAAGCCTATCAAAGGAAAGAAATATATTTGAACTCTGTTTCAGGAGAGACTGATGTCCAGTAGACGTTGTTTGAAATCATTCCAATAAGAATATGTGTAAACCAGATTAGAAACACTGGTCTGGACTCATCACAGGGGACCTATTTACAGAAGGAACTTGTGATTATTTAACCCAAGTTTTTGGCCAAGAGCTAAAGAAATTCTTGGAACAGAATTTTAAAGCTATTTTTCACGTCAGAGGCTCGGACCAATGAGATTTTTTTTTTTTTTTTTGTACGTCTATCACAGACTAAATGAATCTTGTGAGAGATGACTCACTAAATATATTCATCCTCTCTTATCTTTTCATACCTTTCTGTCACATATTTTTCTTCATTGTAATGTCTGACAGGCCCCAATGTTTTCCTGGCCTCGGCTGAGGGATGCTGACCCCATCCTCAGATGTGAGATGGCTTCCACCGGAGAGGTAACTAGCTAATGATCCATAATACTTTCATTAAATCTGCTTTGAAACCCGTGGTTTTATGATCTGAATACAGTAAGGTAAGTAGGTTAGTAAGTAGGGCTACAAATGCGAACTTCCACTTTCAGAGAAAGTCTCAGAGAGTTTCGAAGTAAAGAAATATCTGTTACTCATTTAGAACATGGTCTAAATTCTCAATTATATTTCAACACAGGAATATAATTCATGGATCCTTAATCTCCATTTTCACATTATAAACTGAGAACAACTTTCAGATATTTCTCTAGATGTCTGGGTAAATATGTCCTTAGATATCTGTCTATTATTTTAAGGTTCCCAGTTTTTCTGTAACAGCAGGTCATCTCCTGCTTTGTTACCATGAAATCAGATTGCTGGGTATTTACTAGCAATTTGTAGAATGATGGCATTAAAAAGATCGCACACCTACATGGTGTGGAACCTGCAGATTCATGCAAACTCTTCAGATCACTTTCAAAGCAACTTGAACCTTTTGGGGAATATCTAAAGACTATAATGGGACTGGCCACTGGATGTCCCTCTTCCCTTGTGTTGGAACTGTGCCAACTGAAGGTTTCTTTTTGGAATGTGAAATGTGTTTTCTCTTGGAGAGCTGTCAGATTCTTGAAAGTTCTCTACATGTCAGTGTCAGGACATTTTATGAATCACCTAGCCCTTGACAGACGTACTAGATACAACCTTCAGATTCCCATCAGTGCACTCTGGAGTGGCAACATCAGACTGTGAGGCATCGTTGTTTCTCTTGTTATTAAGGAAAACCGGAAAAAAAGAGAATATTTAATTGCAACAAATGCATGATGCTTTCTATGGTCGCCTGGTTACAAGCAAGATGTGTGATGAGAAGCCAAGTGAGACAAAAAGCCAGGCAATGAGAAATAAATGACTATCCTGTTTGTATTTAGACACTTGGAAGAGAGAACTCTTGGTCCCTTTGCTACTTCTTTTAATTTAATAGGCAGAAGAGCCTAGCTTTAAAATGAAAGCAATACATCACATCGTCAGTCAGTGTAAGCAGGCCCTCTCCAGGCTCATCTTGGTCCCACAGCCCATAGTATTGGGGCTATTTTACACTGTTCTGGGGTGCAGGGCAGAGACATAACTGTTTTCCTTCATCTGATTTGCTCTCTTTAGTTTTCAGTGCTTCTGTCATTCCTGCTTCTGTATATACACATTTGGAGTTTTTGAAATATGAAATTATAAATGAATTAGAAATTAATTCCCCCCCCTTGGTTATACCTTTTGCTAAAGTGTAAAAAAGAGAATTCTTTACCTGTCACGAGAAACAGGCCTTTTCTGAGTGTCACAAGGGGTGATGTTGCACTGTCTGTTTCGTAACTGAAATCAGAATGATAATTCTAGCTGGGCCATCTCAGTTATACTACAAACAGTCTTCCTTCAGTGTTTAAATGGCTTATGGTAGGATTGCACAAGCCTCCAGCCCCTGATCTAATTACGAGTCATTTTATTTTCCTAGTGGTAAAGTAGGGATGTTAAGTCTTGATCTTTCCTGGAATATTCCACTACTTTCTATGGTTTCTCAGAAAATTGCTGAAATATCTCCTGTCTCACTGTATCTGTATTTTAAAATGGCTTACACAATTTATTTCAGTAGAATTTGAGACCTATTAATTTAGGTTGACATTACTTAAGCTAGCTAGACAATATTTGATTAAAATGCTCACTCTGGAGTGAAAAGCTGCAGGTATTTGTGGTCAGCTGAAGTCCATAGTCACGAGAATGTTCCATGCCTAGTAAAGAAGTTATTTGCTTAAAGAATGAATTCAGCCATCAGTGTTATTTACTGTAATGGCGGTTCTGTACCTGCGCCAAATGATGATGCGTATGGCAGAACTGACTCCTGTCACGTTAAATTCTACCACTTGTCCCGTGGTTACGGTGGCTATTTGACTTGTAGTTCTATCCGTAGCACAGTTACTGTAGATGAAATCTTTGTAAATACTCTAACATTTTATGTTTCTTTGGGCCATTTCTGTGGCATTTTGGACTAGTTGCAGGTTATTTTGGTTCATTTTATGAAAATGATAAAAAGGAACAAGCTGTTTTGGGATTTTCATGGAGTGATTGAATTTCTCAGAAGGCTTTCTCATAAGCTGAGTGAAATGACTCCTAACCAATTGGTTGCAGTTAGTCATTTCTACTACTGACCTGTGAATTCATACTCTGCTGCATAGTATTTATAACATATACTGTTATTTAAACAGTAAGTCATATTAACATTTGGAAGTTCACCACGTTATGGGCCAGAAGCTGTGATTTGTATCCAAACAACTGGCAGTAGTATCCAGTCTGCGGCTCCACTGAGTGTTGTTGGAGAGAGAAAGAAGTGCTTATTCATTCATTATGCTTAATTAAAAACATAAGATACATCTGCCCTGGCCGGCCTTTTAATCCCTGGTTTCAGATTACACGGTCTTTGGGCAATATCAGTAAAATCTAGGGAAACAGTCTATGAGTCAATTGCTTTCTATTTCTGCTTTTTGTGTTGCTTTTTTTGTTAAATGTAGTTGGTGGTTATTTGCTTTCCTTATTTTATCTTTTCATTTACTCCTAAACAGGTGGCTTGCTTTGGAGAAGGTATTCACACAGCCTTCCTAAAGGCAATGCTTTCTACTGGGTTTAAATTACCTCAGAAAGGTATCCTGATTGGAATCCAGGTAAGTGGTGTGTGTTCATGTTCATTCACAGGGCCACATACTCCGAGTGATGGGTACACTTCCTGCTGATCCATCCTTCATATTTCAAAACCTACTAAGCACCCAGGAATCAAAACTGCAGAAATGGCAATTATTTGAGGAATTTTCTCAATTTTACTATCCATGTTGGGTATTCTTAAAGGGCAATGAGTTAATGGATTTAAGAAATATTTCATAGAATGTCATCTAAGCTCTTGAAAATGTTATTGTTCTGTAAGTGTATCAGTCAGCTTTTTGTTGCTAGGACACATACTTGACACGTACAACTTAAAGGAGATATTTAATTTAGCTCACGTTTCAGAGCTTTGGAGTCCAGGGTTGGCTGGCTCCAAGCAAGGAATCTCATGGTGGAAAGGCTTGGTCGATCAGAGCTGCTTAGTTCACAGGGACTGGGAAGCAAAGCAGGGGAACAATGTCAGAGAGAAATAGTGAAAGACAATGTATAGTACCCAAAGCCACATCTCTGTGACTATCAGAACACATCCAGCTTTGAAGATATCAATATGCAATACAACAAGCATTGTTAATTTCCTACCACTTTGTTTGTAACTCTGTATTGTCTGTACTGTTCTTTTGCTATTTTGTTAAAGATTTTCTGTCTGTTAATGTTTTCCTCCTTTTATTTTTAAAATAATAAAAAAAGAACACGTCCAGGAGTGTGATCTAATGATCTGTGTTTTCTTAATCCAGTGAAATTGACATATAGGATTAACAATCACAGTAAGCCTTCTAAATCAAAGCAGAGTAAAGCCCTTAAAAATGAACATATTTATCCAATTAAAAAGGGTATTATTGTTTTATCACTGCAAGTTAAATGTAAATCAGGGTAAAACAGTAGAGAGAAAATGTCCAATAACCCTGGGAATGATTATTGCAAGAGTGTGCAAACCCTTCTGTTTATAAATTTCCAGGAAAAATAATTAGATGCTGTTCAACTGGTCATTCACTCTCATTTGAGATTAAAATTTCTTGGTTCTTATAAAAACAGTAGGTTGTCTTATATAATACCCCAGCTGTGCTTTCAATAAGCTCAAACCCTATAAGTTTATGTAAAAATCAGTAAAAATATACTTTGAACAGTACCAGCATTCTCAAGCCAGCGGGTGAGTATTATAAATGCTGCCTCATTAGGGTGTCTTAATATTATCAAATTAGACAGTGGAGGCTGGACAGGGACTGGCTTTGGAGAAGTTCCTGCCAAGAGTAACTTGGGCTTTTGCTTCATAAAGGTGCAGAGGGCAGTGGTGAGTAGTTAGAGCAGAGGCCAACAAGATGGCTGGCAACTGCGAAGCTTAATGGCAGTTTAGAGACAGATCCCATCCTATGAGTGACTCATTATGCAGTAAATGTGTATTAAGTATTATTAAGTCCTAGGAAGGAGACTATTTGCCCAAATTCCAGGTAAGGCTTAAAGTTTAATGTGAGACCTGGGGGGCATTCAGAAGAGATCATGCCCTGAGTCCCCATCTTCACAGCTAATCATAATGGTGCTAACATTTTAAAATACCAGTTTAAGAAGGCAGTGATGTATAAAATTGTGCCTTGTTTGCTTCCAGTGCTGGAGGGAAATGCAAAGCAGAAATTAATTTGATCCCTATAAAGTATTTGTATGAATTTGGCATTAGAATTTTGCTCTGTAGGGGAAAATGGGGATTTTTGTAGGGAATAAAAGAGTTTTCTTAAAGCAGTGAGGGGATGTCCATTGAAAGTCACCTTTCAGTGCATTGCTTTCTTTTTAAAAAAGTGTTTCAATAGCTGTGTGGGAACTTTGTAAAGAACACTCTGTGTCTGAATGCCAAATGTTAGGGATATAAAATATATATATTTTAAGTGTAAAATGTGAAGAGTATTTCCTAATGAAATTACTTAAGGAAGTATTTGTATCTGTGGAAAAAATGACCAGCTGGACTCTAACCTCTAGAGGCATACAAGAATCATGTCTCCTGACTTATTTTATATGGAAGACATGGAAAGACTGCCATCCCTAATAGTGGGCACCTGTCTCTCCATTACTATGTGTGGGATTTTCATTCGGAGGGATTTTTAACATTTCTAGTCTGATAACTGGTGGAAAAACATGGCACATTATACTGATTAGACAGCTAACAGCTGTAAAACTCACCGAACATCTTCTTAGCTAGAATGGGAACAAATTTAATTTCAACTTTTTACCCAAGCTTCATGACAATTGCAGGTAAAATAATCCAGGCTGTATATTTAAGGATACATTGTACCCTTTACAAAACATTTTATTTGACATGATCTCACTTGGTCAGAAGAATGCACATAAACTCTTGCAAACATATAAAATCCAAACTGAAAAGAACATAAAATATTACTGCTAACACATAAGTGGAGTCAAGTCTAGTAAATACATTGGAAAGCATCTGGTTGGTGGTGAATTATGTAATGAAATTCTGAGAAAGTCTACAACAGCACTTTGATTGCTTAACATGCTCATTTAGTACGATGCTATGTAGAATGTATTCACAGAAGAACATTGGTAGCCAATGCTGTTGCTGTTAATTTGATTTATTATTTCTTCATTATCCATGGGGAGGATGGTTCTTATCTGTCCCATTTGAAATAAAGTCTTCTTTTCTTACTGTGACCCAAAAGTCTGCTATGAGTAGAAAAATTTAATGAAGGTATCTTGACTCATTCCCTTTTTTATTTTAAAGAAACAAGAGAAAATTCCAATTAAAAAATACAGAATTTTGAAGTAGGATGATAGGAAATTAACAAAGGTTATCATATTGCATATTGTTATCTTCAAAGTTGGGCTCATTCATTTTTTAAATTAATTAAGTTTATTGGTACCTTTGAGATATACATGATCACATTCATCATAGGGAATTTGTACCTGTACATGATATAACTTGATTCTTCTTTTTCTCCCATTCCTCTTCCTTCAGCCCCACTTCCTCTCCTTATTTACAAAAGCTTTGTTTTCATTTTTCTTTACCCTCTTGTTGTTTTTCTTTTCCTTTCCTTCCTTTCCCCTTTCCTCCCTAGGTCCCCTTCCTATTTGTACATTTTCTTCCCATTTCACAATATCTATTATACATTTCGGTTATTTACACTTTTGGTTTTTCATACCAGAGAGACAATGCAATATTTACAGATACGCGTCTGATTTATTTAACCTAAGACTGGCCTCAAGATGTATCCATTTACTTAGAAATGTCTCAGGTTTATCCTTCTTTATGACTGAGTGGTACTCCATTATCTTAAATGTTGTTTTCTTTATCCATTCTTCAGTTGATGGACATTTGGGCTGATTCATTTATTTTGCACTACAAGTTGCAAGAAAAAACCAGAGACACAATACAGTACAGGAAAAAGTGACCCTGAAGCTGAAAACATTTTTTTCTTATTATTGGAACTTAATATATGTTGTTTTAAGTAGACATTGGTAACTGGCAGTTTTCAGCTACTGCTCAAGCTTAGTGGGTGGACTGTGTGTGCTTGCATGTGTGTGTGTAGGCACACACATTGTGTGACAGTCTTATAATCTTTCTGTCTTTTTCTTTCCCTTGCCTCTCCCACCCTACTCCTTCACCCATATAGGTTCTCTCTTTTTGCCCTTCTAAAGTTAAATCCCATGGATCACATTACTGGAGAAGTTTGAAATACTTAAAACATTAATCTTGGATAACTATGACTTAAGAGAAAAAAAGAATCAGGATTTAGATTTTGTTACCTTAACTAGAACAGTTACTGTGTTTCTACCAAAAGGACATCAATATGCTGGGGCATTTCTAGCGTAAGAAAGACCTGAAACAGCTTTATGTGGCAACAAAATCATCCTTGATTTTCCAGCAGTAGTTACAACTACCTTTCATCCCATCAGTATTTATTTTTAGTTGCTATGAGTAGGCATCCTGGCTTGTTTTGAGGTTTTCTAGAACACTCTTTAACAATGAATGATTGACTCTAGAGTAGCTCAAGAGCACTTGCTGTTTTTTTCCCCTCTGATTGGGCTATTCAGTGATGCTTGCAAAGTGGCACGCACCAACCTGACATCTGCGGCTTCAGCATTGCTCAGAAACACAAAGCAAGCATTTTATTTGAAGAGACGACTCCAAGTGACATGAATAACCTTTTATCTTCAATGCAGCATCATTAGGAACAACCATAGAATTGTCAATCCAGACGTCCCTGTAAAATCCACAGGAGTCACTTGGTATTAACTTGGCTTTCTCTTCTGCTGCTGGAATTGGATTAATGTAAAAATGATCATTGGAGATATAT